TGCCTCCCCATCCCCACACACTCCTGCCCCATCTCAGAGGCCCTGCCCCCGGGGTGGGACCCGGGCCACAGCTGGTACCCCAGGCTGGACGGGGTACCTGAAGGGACCCACGGGCAGGGCCTGGCCACAGGTGAGTGTAGGGCCCCTCCACAGCTCACACGGGGTCCTGGGTGGGTGTGGGCCCCTGGAACTGACCAGAATGCGCTCCCCGGGCCAGGCCTGGGCCCTCACCCCCTGCCTCCAGACCTGCCCCTTTACATCCTTGAGGCAGCAGGACTGGCAGGTAACCTTCCCCTCAACAGATTCCCCAAATCAGGGCCCTGGCTGCCAGCGCCTGACGGGGCAGCACATGGCAGGGTCGTGCCCGGCAGCTGCCTTTCTGCTGATCTTCCAGGTTCTCCCCGTCCCTCTCTGTCTTTCCAGCTTTGCTCTGCTCTCTTTATTATTATTATTATTATCATTATTATTAGCGCCTCAGCAGATGGCCCTTTTGGCAGCTTCAGCTGAAATATTTATTTGCAAGTGGTTCTCCCCCTGACAAGGGGGCCTCCTCTCACTCTCCCGCCGTCTCTCACTGCCCCGGCCGGGCAGGCGGGCTGAGCCTGCCACCTCCTCCCCAGTTGTCATGGCATGTTCTCCCCAGGGCGGCCGTCCCCGGGGCTGGGAGAGCCACGCCCGGCAGCATCGTGGCCTGGAGACGGTCTGGGGTTCCAGGGAGGCGGGCAGTGGCCAGGCAGCGGGGGCTCCTGGCTTCAGAGTCGGCTGGAGAGTGAGCTCCCCGCCTCGGGAAACCAAACAGATGCTGCGCGTTAAAAATTCATAGCTCTGCCGTTTCAAGTGTCAGGAAAGCCCAGGAAAGAACCGTCTAGCATCTCTCGGCAATAGAGTCCTGGCCCAGCTCAGCGGGGTCCCGGCACCCGGCCCAGTGCTGGGCGGTCGGCAGCACCTGCACAAGAGGCCGTTGGGGGCTCCTGCCTTCCCCATCCCATCCCATCCCATCCCATCCCATCCCATCCCATCCCATCCGGGTCCCTGCTCCGTCTCTGCTCTGACTTCTGGCTGCCCCAGCTCCTTCCTCTCCACTTTGGTGCAGGCCTGGTGCCTTCCCTGGCACTCACTCCCAGGGCAGAGGGACTCCCAGGCAGATGGCTCTAGGCTTCCTGATGGGCTCAATCGCTCATCCTGGCCTCCTCAGGCTTCCACCCCTCCACCCCTGCGGACCACCTCTGCCCTCCACACCCCCACACAGGGCCCGGCACTTCTCTGCGGCACAGGCATAGACTCCTCCTGGCTGCTGAGGCCCAGTCCCCCGGGCCTGGCCCCGGAGAGGTCTGAGCTGACCCCTCCCCTGCAGGTTCTCGGGCAGCCAGCACTGCGGCCACATCCACTGCGCCTACCAGTACCGCGAGCACTACCACTGCCTGGACCCCGAGTGCAATTACCAGGTAAGGCCCCTCGGGCACCGCCTGCTCCTGTGCCCACCGCCACGGGAGCTCTCCGAAGTGGGATGGGAGCTCAGTTCTGCCCGGACTTAACTCAGGGAGGCAGAGAGGCCAGAAAACCACTGGCCTGTCCATGCACCCAGACCCCTGCCCACAGGCATCTAGTAGGATCTGGAGCCATCGGCAACCTGGTGCTAATAATTTAAATGCCCATTCACAGCGTCTGCCTTGCACCAAGGGCTGTGCCAGAGCCCAAGCACCTTACCTAATTGATCTTCCCAGGGAATTATGAGGTTGGCATTACTGCCCCATTTTACAGATGATAACATTGAGGCTCAGGTCCATTGTCACTTCTATTCAAAGTCACCCGCTGGTGAGTGCAGAGCTGGTGAAAGTGATGGGAGTAAGGGCAGTCTGCCTAGGGCAGTGATGGCGAACCTATGACACTCATTTTTTTGGTTGATTTTTCTTTGTTAAATGGCATTTAAATATATAACATAAATATCAAAAATATGTCTTTGTTCTACTATGGTTGCAAATATAAAAAAAAAATTCTATATGTGACACGGCACCAGAGTTAAGTTAGGGTTTTTCAAAATGCTGACACACGAGCTCAAAAGGTTCGCCATCACTGGCCTAGGGGCTGCTCCCTTTGCCTCGCCAGGGAGCCCAGCCCGGCATAGCCCCTCGGTGGCTCTGGGCAAAAATGTGTCCCTCCGAGCCCCTGCCTTGGAGGCTTGGTCCAGTTCATCCTCTATGCTCCTGGGCATGGCTGTCGGGAGCCTGAGGGGAGGTCAGGGCAGAGTCCGTGGTTCTGGAACCTGGGAACTGTTCCCTCCAGGGCCCCGTGTGCCAGCCTTGGGGCAGTCTGGGCTGCCCGGACCCCACGCAGGGTTATTCACAGGGAGGCCTGAGGGGCCCGGGGCCAGCTGCTGGCCTGGCGCCC